GCTTTAGAATAAAAGCAAAACTAAACCCTTCGGTGAGTGATCGTTCCCGTTAGGAATTTGCTTCTAGGAGGGGCTCTGCAATGCCAGATGAAAAGAAACATCGTTTCTGGCCTGTAGCTGCAAGGTCTGTTTTCATTTTTCTGCATGTGTATACACACTGGTAAATAGGACATGGCTCTTGCAGAGAAAGCAAATAGAAAACACACACACACACACGCTAAAAAAATGGCAGTGCTTTTTGCCTTGCCTTCACTCATTTTTCTGAAAGTGACTATGGAAACCAAAGGGTGTTCTTTTGCTTTCACTTCAGGACTTTAAAACATCTCATATAGATGTTTTCCATGTTAAGCTGTTACTTTTTCTTCTCCTTATCATACCTTGATTCCTGCCATTCAAACAAAGATGAAGGCAAAATGAAAGACAGTTTTCTGAGAAGGCGACAGATGCACATGGCTTTCATACTGCTTTTAAAACTCTTTGGTAATTTTAACTTCAAACCATAAATCAAAAAAAAAAAATCCTTTCTAAAGCATCAAGTGAGAGCAGCTTCCTCAGCAAAAGCACAGGAACCAGAAGCCCAGTCTGTCAGGGAGTAATATCACCTGAATCCAGTATTATTTGAAATGATTAACTGTCTTTGCTGCAGTGCTTGTTAGTACCTATGCATGAGAATTTTTCCAGAATATGACTAGAAATATTGAGTCTGAAATTTCTGCTCATATTAATCATAATGTATGTTTTTTTCCTAAGGTCTTTATTACATAGATGATCCAGGTTAGTTAATGAGAAATTATTATTATTTTTAGTCTTAAGCATGCTGCTGATGATAATATGAGTAGCAGGATTGTGTTAGAACTTACCTCTGTAAACTCCTTAAGCTAGGTTGGAGGCATGGGTCCTTTTGTTAATTTTTGGCATTGGGCAAGTCTTAAATTATTCTCTTTTAAAATGCTCAATTTCATTGTCAGTAAAACTGAGACAGTGATCCTACCTAAATGGATTGTTTTTGAGAATTAGATCAGAGAACACTGTGAAAGGCTCCAGCAGAGCGCCTGGCATGAATTAGTCATTCGATTGTAAATTTAAAGAATTTTTATTATCAATTTCAGGACATTTTTACTGAATTTCACAGAAATTGTTTTCTTCTTTGTTTTCAGGAAAAATATATTAGAGATTTCTCTGGAAATTGCTAACTGCACCTAATTCCAGTCAAGAGTTGTTAGTGAAAGCTTTGCGTGAAACTGAAGGGCAATTGGCCCTTCAGATGTGGTCTTCGAGAACTATTACTGTTTGCTGCCTCAGGGCACTGAACAGTTTTGCAGTGATTGTATAGAAAGTAATACTGTGCTGTATAGAAATTAAATAAGCTGCTGAACATTAATACAGAGCAGATGTAGACTAAGGGGTACGACTCAGGTGGAGTCAGATTTCCTGCCTGCTCAATGCAGAGGAGGGGGACCTCCCTCCCCTCCCTGGATGCTGCCTCAGAGGCTGAGTGTCAGCGTGGACTTTTATGGGAGGGGCAGGTTCTGCCTGCCTGCGCGGAGAGCTCACCATTGATCATGAAACATCAGTTCTGCTGTATGGTCCCTGCTGTGTTTGAGAGAATATGGGTTTTGAAATTAAACTCCAGAAAGTTTCCTTTTCCTTCTTTCTTATCAAACTGGCAAATATAAACAAGATATTGATACGTTGGAATGCTTTTTGGGAATAATACTGATGCTTTGCTGGTGGAGATGGAAAATGATAGACTCTTTCAGGAAGAAAATTAGATCATGTGTATATATGATGTCATTTCTATTCCTAGAAATCTTCTTTGCCTTAAATTCTAATTTGTCTGCTATTAGTTCTGCCATTCCAGCTTTTTTTTGGATAAGTATTTTTATGAAATGCCATTCTAGATTCTTTTATTTTCATTTTTTTAAAATATAATTTTGATGTAAGTGTAGCCTGTAAGAGTGGCATATTCAATATATGCTTGGATTGTGTTTTTAAATCCAGTCTGATCATCTCTGCCTTTAAACAGGCAATGTTCATAGTTATTGTGAGTACTGGCATATTTGGACAATTTTTACTCTTTTAAATTGGGCTCTTTTGATTTTCTGTACTTTTTCATTCCATTCTTGCTACAGCTTGTT